AGTTGATTTAAAGCGCTTCATTGTATGCTCTGGGAAATAATTCAACTCGTTAATAGCAATATAGACCTTCCAGTACTCTTGATAGGAATGGACATTTTCATACCTTCCAATCGACGCCAGTGCGGGCACCGCAGATAGTTCTCTAATCTTGCAAATTGCATGGGAATTAATTGTTCTCCTTTCTGCAGTCTGTTCACATACTAACAACATACGACCATCGAGTTTTTTCTTATCTCTACGGTCTGAAGAAAAGTGTTGCCATGTTGTAATTAAGTACCAGTTCAACGTTCCAGCCTATATACGGCGATCAAAACCAGACCTTTGTAAACAGTTGGAGCATGTGGTTAACCTAGCTTTGCCCTGGTAAAATCTGGCTCCCAGATTTACACAGTCGCCTTCCCAATTTTTTTTGCCTAAGACGCTTTTCCCCACCTTTTTGCTGCCCACAGTGTTTAAACTTTCTTACTTTACTGATTAGCCTCTTGGCCATTTCCTATGACCTTGCTGTTTGTATCGATTTTTCTGTATGAATTCAATTTTGTATTTCCTCTTACGTCATTCACGTTATGCAATGAGAGGTAGCAGCTGATGAGCGCTCCTGAAATTTATCGATCCAGTAAATCCTGCTGTTCTTGCAATTTTCAAAGTTGCACCTGGTAAACTTTGCTTCAAATTTAAGTTTCCGAATTGCTCATCTTCTACTCTTTTTGCTGACATAGAGCAATTTGTTGCCTTCTGTAACAACAATTGATCGACAGCTGCCAGTTTTCGGAGTGCATGTTCGGTATCGCACGAACCCGACAGAAGCAGTCAGCTCAGTTTGCTCCTATGGACACCGACTTGCTGCATTATGCTACTCGTATTTCTTTTTCTCCATCCGCGTCCAGGCCCTTCTTCGTTGCATGTGTTTGGTGCACTTCGGCCGGTGGTTTTCTACTAGGACCGCCCAGCTTGGAATTGACTTTAACTATCACGCAGACTCCGGCTTCTTTACTGCCTCCCCTCCACGATGCGTTATAGCCAACGCAAAACAACATGCTCACCGCCGAGGACGGCCATGGCAACGTCATTATAGCCACGGCCACGCACACGAATACAGTGGCAGAGGCCGTAACAGGCCTCCAATGCCCTACAGACCCTGTGCGAGGATAGCCCATCCCGCACCGTCGCCTCCACAGCAGGCATTGGAAACACTGACACTGCAGGACGAATGTGTTGAGGGCCCTATTCAAAAGAGTAACGTAGAACAGTCCTACGCTCA